TCATGACATCACTGAAGAGATGCTTCTGCCTGCAATAGGATATTCTTTAATCTCTTTTGTCTTTCCCTCATTAGTCCTTACTCTATCTGACTTTTCTGAGATCCTTTAAAATCGGTCTTTAAGATTTTGGAGGATTTTCAATGGTATACTGCATTACTGTGTGTACATGGACATACATGTTTAACCCTGCTATCTGAACAGTCACGGCTAGTCAAAAAAACAATCCTCTTCTCCTGCCATGCCTTTTACAGTAGGCTAGTCACCAACAGCCAGATCATGTTTTAGGCAAGCACTATGACTAGTCAAATTAACACTAACAGACAAAGCAGGCAGGTGGTAGGCACAGCTGGCTTATAAATCAATCACTTACAGTCAAAGCATACATGTATACATGTACATGTAGCTGTATCAGGTTACAGTCACAGCCAGTCAATCCTGCTTTACATTGTAGGCTGGGAGCTCTTAACTGTTGAAAACAGTCCGATTCTGACTGAAAAGGACAACTTGGCACAGAATTACATGTAGTGTATGTTAGCATAGGAGGGTTGGAGGATTGTGTGGGATTTCAGAAGCTGTACAATGTAGCCTTGGGATAGTACATTGTACATTTATTATGCAAGTGTAGCAAAATTGCACTCTAAGCCTAAATGTAGGCCTACTGTTAATTCAGGATCTGACCTAAATCTACAATCTGGATCACACTGTTCAAGGACTGTTCTGAACAAGCCATTTTAATCAAGTTCTTCAAAACTCTTATCACCCTGCCAAGAAAAGTGATTTGGCCCTATCATCATTTCATCACTTGTCAATCACTATAAACCTGAGGCTGTGTACTTGTAAGGAGCTTTACTGAAGTGCAATTAATCTGGCCAAGATTTGATCACTCCACACACTGAAAGGTCACGCTTTCTTTATGCCAAGTTTGAAATTTCCGGCGAAGTTGGAGTTTTTGCCTTCAATAACAGTTGGATATGGCTACTCAGAGTGCTGTGGGCAAGGGCACTGAGACAAAAACTACAACAGTTGTACTGTTCTCCTCTGTTTGATTTCACACGTTATCGATTGTTTGCAAAAGTTTTACACTGAGTTTTTTTGTGTTGTGTGAAAGCTGGTTATTGTAAAGATGACTCAAACTTTGAGGACATACATTGTACATAAATTGTACAAGACATTGTATGTGTGTTGGGTGTAATGTAGGGTTTGCTGAATGCTGTAAAATATTTTCTTATTACACCACTCACTGAACACCATCATTGTGAATTCAACCATTTTTCAACCAATAACCAAGAGTGCTAAATATTCCTATGATGATGTACATTGTACGAGTTTCACTTGGTTTTTTTTGTAGTGATCAGTGATGTCTTTGCTCTTAAGGAATAGGTTTTTGGCAGCAGGCGTATCTTGCTTTTGGGTCGGGGATGGGGGACCACAAAATGTGTACCGGTACAAAACTACTGGTATGGTGCAAGCATGGAGGAAGAAAACGGTGCAAGCAACTAAGCATACATGGCATAAGCAACAGTGTACACACACTGGTACTTCAAAGGTTGGCTGTACTTTTGGTAATAATTATCTGAAAATAAACTGACCAGAAACTTATCTCTGGTCACTGGATTAAAAAAAATCCACCATCCTGATAAGGTACATGGACATGCTGTCATTTTGAAGAGAATAAATTGCATACAAATAAATTTAAAAGAAAAGAATCAAAATTGGAAATCTAAAAAAAAAAAATCTTCTCCCAAAGGTGGAAGTTTGGATAACAGTGGAAGTTTAAATTGGATTAGTGGCTTCCATTGAATTGTTGCAGTCGAGTCCAGCACAAGTCCATCACAAGTTAGTCATACACATGTAAGTCCATTCCGTAAAAAGGACTGTCTTTGTCAAAGTCCATTTGAATCTTTGACTTGACTTCGGACTGGATATCGATAATTTGTGATTGACTCGTGTGGAACTTGTGAGGACTTGTGATGGACTCAACTACACTGCCCCAATGATGGGGATGCCAAAAAGAGGAAAACATTAGTGTCAAAAACAAAGTAGATACATACATGTACATTGTATTTAAGTATGTCTTCAACTCTTCATTTTATTGAACAATACAAAAGATGCCCGCAGCTATATGTACCATAGCTACAGGTGGCACTGACTGACAGTGTTTACAGACTGACAGTGTGTAGAGCAGTTAACCACATTAACACCTGCATTACAACCATGCAGTCTTATCAGCCAAACAAGCTTTAAAATCTGGCTCAATTCAAGCCAATACTGTTTTATGAGAGACAGTATTGTTTAATCAGGACCACCAAGTGCACTTAATGAGGCTATTAACTAGCCTTGTGGTTAGCACACCATATTGTGAATGTCCAGTTATATTCTGAGTCTTGTTTGATATGGAGGCAGGGTGTTTGGCTTTTGACACCATCTAAACTGTGGGCTGAACCCTGCACTTCCAATAAACCCCTTTAAGCTTGAAACTTTTGAGGTCAGGCGTTGGTAAAGCTGCTTGTGCTGGCTTGAAAACTGAACAATTGAGTGACCATACAGGTAGTTGACAATCTGACATTAGAAATAAAACGGCAGTTTTTGCATCAATACATGTAATGTTCTTGCATTGTTATCAGATACTGTACATGTATGTGTGTCTACTTGTATGCCCACGTGACAAGACTGATTGCTAGAAATGTACTGTAAATCTTCATTTCATGATGCAGTTTTTTTAATGAAGAGTACATGTACACAAATATGTGTGTGTAAATTTGCACACAAAGTATGCATTGACTGTACTGTACTCATATAGGCCTACAACTGAAAATGTTTATTATACCCTATTAATTCAGCTTATCAAACCTTTTTGTAATTTACAAGTCATTTTTATGGTAGACTTACAACGTTCAAATACACCAAGGATGATACCCTATCTGAATTCAAACACTACAGACATTATGGTTGTGTACAAAGTATACATGGCTGTCAATAAGTATTAAAAATTGTTTGGAAAAAGTTTCCCCACAGCTCTGGGCACGATACTTCAAAGAATAATTTGATTGATAAATGATGTTGAAACGGATGTTGTAAAACAATCGAAGTACGCATTTTGATCTTCAGACTCTATAAGCAGTTCAGTTACAAACATGTGCAACGGTATTCCTCTACATGTAGGCCTGGTCGTGAGGCACACATTGTAAATGTGGCCTTTGAGATTTTTTTTTACATGCAGCGTAGAACGTTGATGCGGTTTTTTCTCCATTAGGTGGTAGTACATCTTAACTACAGGTAAATCTGAATAGTCTACACCTGGGGCATGCAATCAGCTGGCACACTCTGTCAAGACTTGTCCCAATGCTATGTGTCTTTCCCTCCACGATCAGCCAAGAAAAGTAGGCCAATGAATTCCACCCTCGTAAAATGTGCCCCACATTAGGCAAGCTCACCGAGCAATTATCGGTCAGCATGAAATCAGACTTGACCATTCCCTGTTCTACATTTTGGAAAATAAAAGGCAAATCAAAAGCGGCACGATACACGAGTGACGGACGCATACACGTAGCAATTTGTGTAAAAATGGGTTAAGACACAAAAAGTTTATCAGCTCAGTCTTGCGTTCATGACTCTCTGGCCACTTGGACCAATTTCGAGACAACATTTTTGTCGAGGCGGTTTGACAACCTTGCTTATTGCTGCCCTTGGCTACAAAGGTGTTTCGTGGGCTCTGCCCTCAAATAATCCAGCCGCCTCTGATTGAGTGCATTTCTCCAGCTTTTTGCAGAGGAGTAAGGGAAAAAAAAACCCAAGCACGTGGGAGAGAGGTCCTTTTTATCTGTGAAAAAAGCTTTCCTGTAATTGACGGACTATGGCATGAGCCCCCGGGATGGTCTCGTGCTTTGAAGTTGGTGTTGACACTGGGGGATGTTCACTCAACTTTTTTGTGTCTTCGTGAGTTGAACACTGTTCGTTTGTGGATTATGTAGAATTTTCATTCTTGACGTATAACCAGATGGTCAGGGGTTTGAAGTGTTTTGCCCTTGGGCAAGGCACTTAGTTCATGCTTACATGCCCATGTTTCTACCCAAGAGAGAATGTACGTATAAAGTATAATGTACATTCTGTAAGTGAATATATCCATTAGCGCGAAATATTTCCCTCTTAAGGGTCGGTTTTTATACTTTGTGCAAAAGTCAAAGGAAAACATATTTTATGACATCAACATCTAGTGTTTCATAATGAAGTTTGCAGTTACCGTTACAAATAAAAGTTGCTCTTAAAGCTCAGCATAAGGTATGCATCAGCCTTTAACCATAACTGCCCTGAATCCTTCAAAATCCTCTTTGCCAAAGTGGAGGAATTTGGAGGATTGAGGTTACATGGCAAAAGTGCATTACTGATTTCGTAGGATGCACTTTGTCAAGGTCTTGGGCCGGACCTTGTGTTGTTTTTGCTCAGCTGTGCATACCGGTACATTTTGTAAATATAGGCCTGGATTATGCTTGAAATCCTCCGTTAGGCTCCGTACTGCTCCCGGATGTCACTGGCCAAGCCTCAACATATTGACAGTCACTGCCGCAGGATTTTGCAGGCTTCAGGCAGTGGTCACCGATCCATGGACCATATTCAAGAAATAATGGAGGAATTTGAGGGATTGAGGCTATATGCTATTTTTCCAAGAGGCCAATTGGAGGATTTTGCAGGATTGAGGCTACATCCTAGCAAAAAGGCCAAGGGAGTTACCGTAGAGTTAATAATAATAATAATAACAATGCGTATTTACACACATGGAAAGTGCACGTGTCCACCTCTATTGGTGCTCAAGGCACTACATCATTATTACCCTCTATACCCTGCTCATTGGGCCAATGAAACATTGCTTTACTTGCTTAACAGGGAAACAATGAATCCTGAGATTTTGGACCTTGAATCTGCAGCTGTTCGAAATTACCTTCTTGTGTACAACAGATCCCAAACCATCAACTTCAATTCTGATTTTTTCCCCCCCCTTCCAGCTGTATCTACCCTAAGTGACTTCAAGAGCCTGACAGACCACTTTCGCTACCGTTCCCCGGTCCAAGAAAATCTCATCACCCCAGTTTCCAGACCTCAGTGCATAGAGCTCCAGTACCGTAAAGCCAGCACAGATCTTAAGGTAAGCAAACACCAGAAATTGAGATTCAACCTGATTCTCAAGTTGTCTTTTAGACAGTTATTGCAATAATAATTTAACCCTTTCACTGTATTGCCCAAAAATGCCCTGCCTATTACTCACTGTAGCGCCCGGAACTGACCAAGCACTCTATGGTTTATTGAGTTACATACTTCTATCAGTGAATAAATACAATGTATACAATGTAGTACAGGTGCTAATTGGTTAAGGCCTTAAAGATATAGTCCATCATTTGTAATTTGTGCATTTTGTTCGTTTGAAGCAACAAAAGTGTTCAAAGTCTAATGAAAGATACTGAACAACTAACCTGATGAAGTTTCAGCTCAGCCTCAGCTGTATATTCCGAGAAAAACAGCATTCTAGGATCTCAATTTCAAATCAAAAGTTGCTGAATCATGTTTTGAATTGTTTTGAATTGCAGCTATACGCGATGTCGCGCACTGATCCGACGAATTATAGCAACCGCGCTCGCCTGTGCGTCGTGCCAATGATTGCGCGCGCTGTGCAGAATAACAAAACGAACTACTAATTTAAATTTTCCTACGGTGCATCTTAAGACCCACCGTTGGAAAGGCCTTCTTTCGTTGATTACTTCAAAATGATAGCTTGCCAGAAAGATTAATTTCACAGGGAGTTTAGTCCACTTACTATCTTTCAACCAAGTATGTTTTTCAACAATAATACGCCAGTTTCTTTTTCGGATGGCTGCAAATGATGGACTATATAGCTTTAAACTAAAAAATCGTCATGTCAGTGCAACAAGGTTGTACAGTAACTCCATTCTGCAACAAAGTTGCATCTCGCGGGACTACTACAAGGTTGTATCTTGACATCCACTGTGTTTGTGTACACATACATCTGGGTTATGAAGTGAGATACGACCTTTTGACATTCTGAAACTCGCGTTTCACGTACATACATTACGGCCCATTTTAGGAGGTAGGACCTTGTTGTACGGACACGAGGAAATGAAAGAATGATGAAAGACAGGTACTTTTAATACATGTACCTGAATATTGCAGCTTGTAAACACTTTACACTGCAAGACGTCGGAGTTTATCAGGAATTTCAAACGGGATTTGACTCTGCATAATGGATTTTAACCTACATGTACCCGGTACAGTGTTCGTGGATAAAAAGAAATACTTCATACAAGTTTTCTTTTGCTATTTGTCCTTTCTCCCAGGACATCTTTGAGAAGTTGAGGGAATACCACGAGGATGAAGTCACCGTTTGCAATCTGTGCCAGAGCATTTCTCTGTCCAGACTCAACTGTGATACGGACTCATCCGAGTATGACATTGAGTTCCCTAGAGTAAGTATACCGACTGCTGTTAGTGTTACAATGTACATGTAACTCCTTGCATCATTTCTTGGTTGTTGGCTGTGCTAATAACTTTTTCTCTGAAGAATCTTTTACACTGAATTCTCTGATGGGAATCTAAACTGTTCTTCGGAGAAGCTTGATTAAAAAGCACTGACTAACTTTTGTTCTCTGGATTTTTTCGTTGGTGGTGGGGAAAATAATATAAATCGTTCGTATCTGTGAGTATTTAGAATAGTCCTAATTACATTTGGGTACATTTTCTCTCAGCACTCTCAAATAGGGAACTCAGTATTGAGAGAAATTTAAAAAAAAGTAATGGTGGGAAAATGTTTTGAGTTTAAATGTAAGAACTACGATGTATTTAGTTTAGTATAAACACTGGGCGCTACATGTAGGATAGCTGCAGTTAATAGGTAAAGAGCATGCATACATGTACATGTATTCACATGTGTAAGTTTGTACAATGTACCTGTATGAAAAAGTGGAACTTGTGGTGTTAAATCACAAACTAACCACTGTTAAAAATAGCCTGAAATTTTGTTCAAATACTTGATTTCACTACTGAACAAAACAAATTTGGATATTTTTTTTGTTTAGATACATGTATACCAAGTGGAATAAATTACAGTTTACATGTAAATATTAAAACTGACTCCATATTTTGATGTTATCGCAAGTGCTACACAATTTAATGTTAGATCAGCTAAAGAAAATAGAAAAAAAAGTCAAACCAAAAACAACCCCCCAAAAAGTGCAGTATCACAGCTTCACAAGCACAGATAGAGTAATTTTTCAATGATAAACAAATCAGGCACAAATTAAACCAGCGGCTCAACCAACCTTCACGTGTCAAACATAATGCCACTACAATTATATCCATTTCTAACAAGGCAAGGTTTATTAAAAGGTTTGTGATGTATCTGAGGAGCTGGGACATTTGTCTCTGCCCGTCCTGGTATCAGCGTTTTCAAGCCCGTTGGAGTGAGATTGTTTATTTTTGATTGGATGCTCCGAATACCGCAGAGTTGACATCCCAGTATATTACGGCAACATCTCCTGTACTATTCACTCCTGTTTGCTGCATCTGTCTGTGTTAGTCCTTGGCCTCATTTCCAACCTTCTGTTGCATTCCGTAAACAATTTTCGCACATTGGAGGAATTTTCCCACCGTGAAACGCAAGTTCAGAGTTACATGTGTAAGCCTACAGTGCATTGTGCACTGTCTTTTCGTGGACAATGCAATGTGATTATTGGGATATGAGGATGACAATTCAGAACTGGCACTCTTTAAATAACAGCCAATAATTTATTCATAAATAAATACATTCGTTTATTCTTGAACAATCGCTGCCCATTATGACCCAAAGAAGGTATAAATGATTGAAAAAAAGCGAAGTTCCTTTTACTCAAGAAACAACAGAAGATGCACGAACCGTGTTACGTACAGCACCGTACACCATGTGTATACATTGGTGCATTTTTCTCTCATACAGTATAATTAGATTCGTAGTCATACACATGTACATGTTAAACAAAAGCGTTTAAAAACATTCACATTCAATTTACGCGCATGGTACATGAAAAAGCATGTAGTTGAGCTTCTATTATGCATTTACTGCACCATGAGAAAAACCAAGCTATTTCCAAATGTGCCAGCACAAAAAAAAAACGTGAACTTTACCTCCACAACATAATGACCCATAAATTCAGCACACAAAGATGACAGCGCTAATAAATTGCATGCGGCCTGTGTTGGCCGGGAATCTTTGGCAGTATTTACACAGCATTAATATTTAACAAATGGTCTTTGGCTAAGTGGGTTATGCAAAGCTCCAGGAGAAAAAAGGACACAAAGGTACATAGCAGTTGGCTGGTTGGAATTGGGAAACTATGTTTTCATCACCGTTGCGAATGAGGAGGAAATAATCTTCGCACGTCATACAACTAAAAGTCAGTTGGAGCCGCCTAAGCCCGTGGAGCCAAACAAGACCACAAAACTTGAGCAAACATTTGGGTTGAGGGTCAAGTTTATGGGGCATTTTTGGAACCCACAAAATGTTTTCACACAAAAAAATAATATCTTAAAGCCCTTTGAAATGGCAGTTTTTATCACTTTTGAAAAGCACCCTGCTCATTTCGTGAATGCGATTGCAAGCTAGGGCGTAGGCTTAACAGATAGGGGACCACAGAACTCTGGTAAACATGGAGGCTATAGGGTCAAGTTTATGGGGGCATTTTCGGGACGAACAAAATATTCTTATTTACAGGAAAACAAATTCAGATTGTTGTTTAAACTGGAGTGCTTGAAAACAATATTTTATAGAAACTATATGTCTTGTACCGGTACATTTAGATCAACACTAAAATCCCCGGCCTCGTTTTTTCGCGAGTAAGGATTGCCTTGTTTTAAGATTGTGGATTGCACAAAAAATTTGAAACAGCATGCAAGAAGACTAAGAGTGTTGAAAATTACCTTGCTTAAAGCTATAGTCCATCATTTGCAGCCATCCGAAAAGTAACTGGCGTGATTATTGTTGAAAAACAAACTTGGTTGAAAGATAGTAAGGGAACTAAACTCCCTGTGAAATTATTCTTTCTGGGAAGCTGTCATTTTGAAATAATCAACGAAAGAAGGCATTTCCAACGGTGATTCTTAAGAAGCACCGTAGGAAAATTTAAATTAGTAGTTCGTTCTGTTCTTCAGCGCAGCGCGCACAAGTATTGGAACGACGCACACGCGCGCACGGTTGTTATAATTCGTCGGATCAGTGCGCGACGTCGCGTATAGCTGCAATTCAAAACAATTCAAAACATGATTCAGTAACTTTTGATTTGAATTTGAGATCTTAGAATGCTGTTTTTCTCGGAATGTACAGCTGAAGCTTAGCTGAAACTTCATCAGGTTAGTTGCTCAGTATCCTTCATTAGATTTTGAACTCTTTTGTTGCTTCAAACGAACAAAATGCACAAATTACAAATGATGGACTGTAGCTTTAAGTCGTTACTTACCCGGAATTTTGAGCTCTCTGCAGTTGGCTGCCAAATTAAAAAAAAAAAAACTCGGTCTGGAAAGAAGTGTTGGCCCTGAATCGAACCAGAATTTGTCCTTCAAATGTGAAGCCTGTGCCATTTCACATTTACTATAAGACCAGAGGAGGGAGACTTAGATAATGAGGCGAGATTGCCATGTTGAGCAATCATCACCCTGTCATTTCCTCAAGGTTGTTTCATATCACAAAGCCAATCAATCATGCTCAATATTACTGCTTGGTATTGTCAGCCTACATATGGATATGGAAAATGAAGGGAAAAAAATGTATAAACCAGTAAATAATATATGTACATGAAGTTGTACCGGTAGTATTGCAAAATTTTCTGAAATTATTTGGAATTATTAAAGATTGTTAGAGAAATTTTTTGAAATTATTTGGAATTATTAAAGATTGTTAGAGACTGTTACCGGTACGTTCCTTTATATCGTATACATGTACATCTACACGTACATGAACATGTACGTGTACGAAATGTACGGTACGTACGTGTGTGTGTGTGTGTACAATGTACATACTGCGTGAGAAATGCGTTAAACGTTTGGATCCACGAGCAAATTTGTACATCTACACAGTTCGTACATGTACATGGTACACTAGAGCTTTTCAACACAAATTGTACAAACTGCAGTGTAGATGTTTCTGAAATACCATAATGGCATAAATTTATTTTGCAAAACCTGTGAGTAAATGTAAGTTTGATTTGAGATAGAGGGTGTAGCTATGGTAGATTCAAGATAATGTACATGTACAACAGGTCTGATATTTAAAAGGATTTATACTTCAAATTGCACAGATCAGTCCTAAAAAAAGGGGCCTTATCATAAGTCCGACGCCTCATAAGTCCGACATCGGAAAAACGAAGCGTACAAGGCGTCGGACCTATGAGGCATCGGAGCTACATGTTTGAGGCATCGGACTTATGAGGCATCGGACCTATGAGGCGTCGGACTTATGGGCCTAAATTATTTGGTTGGGGGATCCAATTTTGTCAGACTTATGAGGCATCGGACGTACATTGTATGAGGAGTCGGACTTATGAGCGGACCCCTAAAAAAAGACCCACTTTGACTAAAGAGTCAGCCAAGGGCTGTAACAGATCCTAGTCTCCTCACTTCAAATTATGGAATATGACTGAGTTCAACATGTAGGCCAACATTGTAGACAGCGTGTCAGCTCCCCCCCCCCCCCCCCCACTCCCCCAAGGCAAACCACTGTTTGTTGAAGTTGAGGAGGCCATTACCCTCCCGATCCAAAACCTAAACTTGAGTGACATCAGTCAGGAAATATCTCAAGTATTTGGTATCGCAACCCATAATAATCCCTTGTTATCCTCTGCCAGTGGCAATGCAAGAGCGAAGTTGCACACATGTTGCATGGATGGGGTTAAGGGTTCCGAGCCGAACACCACAAGTCAAAATAAAGGCTAGATTTTTTTCACCATGAAACCATTCACAGTGAAAAGGAATTTTAGATTATTTTTTGGTTTTCTGAAAGTGGCTTGGGATGACTTGTGCTCAATAAAGAGGGTGGAGGAGGTATGAGGATGTGACAAAAGAGAATAGGATTTCTTTTCGTTGAAATGTATTGACAATGGTAAAAAAGAAAGAAAAATTACCCTGGGCCAAAACAATATTATGTCCATTGTAACTGTAAATTTAGGCTCAGTTAGGTTGCTGCTGGAAGATTCTGTATGTTCACACTAGGCCTGGGCGAGTAGTGAATTTTTCTATTCGAGTACTCCCAAAAGAAAGTACTCACGAGTAGTCGAGTACTCGTGAGTAGTTAACAGAATTCCCATCAAAGCAGAAAAATGACATACATGTACATTAGTATGACGGGAAATACATTGTAACTACTGGTAGAAGCAAATAGCGTGCAAGTCACACCATATTCTTCAGCACCAAGTTATCCTCACTGTGCGACGTTTTGGGTCAT